GGGAACCATGCAAAAAACGCATCTTCGCACGGGCAGCCCGTGCGTTGGCCAATTATTTTTTTTTTTAAATAATGATTTTCGGTTTACATTATTCGAGCACGTAAAACGGAAAGGGTAGAAAGTGGATGGAGATGGATGCGCTCGTTGTTGTTTGCTTATTTGGCATGTCCATCCACGTACATAAAGGACCTAGGGCTGTTCAGGGGAATAATTTTTGTGCGTTTTTTGCAGCCATGCAATGCAAGAAATGCATACTGACGAGAGGTTGTATGTGTTTGTGTGTCTGTGTGTGCGCTGCGCGTCTGTACCGATTTTTCATCTCGAAACCCACAAAAGCTATGGGGCTGAAGCTTGGGGAACTTAATCTACTTGCACGTATGGGCTCCAATCCCCAAGATGGGCGCCATTGCCCACGTGGTACCCACGTAAAAGTCCGCCAAAGTTTTTTACGGATAAGCTGCTAACTCGGGCACCAGAAATGCTTGAGGGCTGAAATTTTAAGAAGATGTTCCCCGTCCAAGTAAGTATTAATGAGGTCAAACCCAGCCCACCGGTAAGCGTAGTACCCACCTACGGGCCCGTGAAATTTCTTTCAGGAAAATAGATAACTCGGGAATCTGAGAAGGTGGAAAACTGAAGTTTTAAGGAGATGTTCCCCACCCAAGTAGGTATTAATGAGCTCAAACCCAGCCCTCGAGTAAGCGTGGTACCCACGTATGGTTTCATGAAAGTTTTAGAGTAAGTTGCTAACTCAGAAGCCAGGAAAGCTTGAAAGCTGAAATTTTGTGGGGGTGTTTCCTGACGGCCTGCCTTAATTTGTTTGCTAGAAGCATTTGCCAGGAAAACCGGTGCCGGTAGCGACAAAAACTGCAGAGAAATATGCAAAAAACGCATCTTCGCGTAGGCAGCCCGCGCGTTTGCCAATTATTTTTTCAGCCATGTGGAAAATGGTCTCATGGGTTAACACTTCTGATCCTTCTGTGAAACACAAAAAAATAATTTGCTTTGCTTAGGCTTACATAACTCACATCTGGCTTTTCCAATTCGAAGGGAAGGTGCTGTATCGGTTCGGCTGTTAATCTGTATAGCTTTCTAACTTACACAACTCACAGCTAGTGGCGCGTAACAGGGGACTGTCACGAATATGCTAATCAATATCTTCAACGATTTATGTAAAAACTTTATTAAACTAAGCTAGGACTGTCACTTTTAACTTAACTGATGGAAACAGATGATCTGTTTATTTTGAGTTAACGGCTCTGTTTGCTTTCTTGTGTTCTCATTTTGTCCGTTGTGGCTTTAGGTAACGTTTCAGCATGTAATGATTTTTTTTTTTAAATTAATCTAGCACATGAATCGCACCATCATATTAAATTAATAATTTGTTCAGTTCTATTGTTTCATACCTTCATTTAGACGTGTGGTCATAGGTAAACGAACCGCAGTTGAAAGCTAATTTAAACCATCAATTCCCCACTCTTTATTGCTGTGACAGTAATTTCGATGTGTTTCTGAGTTCTGAGACGCCCGGCAATCGATTTGAAGGGGTAGCCCAGTCTCCTAGCATGTACAAGGCTTGGCTTATTGTAAAATTGGGGATTATCACTTTAAAAGTTAAGCGTCTTAGCTTTTTGTAATATTTGAACGAACTGAAGACTCAACACATACTTGCACGCGCTCACATTATGATGCTTTATGACTGAAAGTTAGGATCTGAGTTTCCAGATATAGAATAAACCAAATTTTGTTCAGCATCAAATTGGTTCGCAAGAAAATCTGCGCAAAATTCGGCGACTGTATTTTCAAGCAAGTGCAAGGCGTACGATTAGGCCGGTAATGCTAGTCCAGACATTTCCGACCTTACACTGTCAGTTATGGAATACCAGTTCCTACATAAGGATCCCAGTATTCAGCTTAACTTTCGCTGCATCGATGCTGTTTTGGTCATCCAACTCTGCTGAAATCTCCAGTACCATCTATGATCCAATTTTGCAGCTTAGCCCCACTTGCTTCGAGAAAAAGGACCTATTTCCTTGACCTCGAGATCAGAATGACAGATGTGCATTCAACGTATACAATGAGATCCTGGAATACCTGTCCCAGTGAATCAAGGAGAGCACCCAAACAGTAATAACCTACAGGAAGACGTCATCATATATCAGTCGCTCTGTTGTGGTTGTGTATGTATTTTCTGCAGGAATTCCGAGAACTGACTGAACCTAAAGGCATAAATGGTTCGAATCCCAAAAGTAGGACATTCGCTCCTAGTGATATGGATCACACTATGCAGGAAGGCTTTGTTATATCCAGGCTACTCCATTATTCATGTGTATTTACTTTTCTAGAGGGATCTCAAGACTTGGCTAAACAACAAACCTACAGACATGGAGGGTTTCATCTCACAGAAGTGGCACATTCATCCTTCATATTCAGCTTCAAGAACTGACCTACACTCAGGAAATACTTTTCCCCAGTGATTCCGGGATTCAAAGCTTTTTCAGGACACTGTTATAAAAACCCTTAGTATGTGCGGGCCGGTCTGTTCATTACATTTCAATTCATATTAATCCACTCTCCCTCCCCTTCTTCCCTTCCCTGTTCCATCCTCCTTTTCCTTTTCGTCCTTTTCTCATTGCTTAAAATACCAGAATTTCCATCTAACATAGCCACTTTCATTTTATTGAATGAAAGTGGCTATGTTAGATGGAAATTTTCATCGTAGTCATTTTTTTTTCTTTCTCTTCCTTTCCCATGTCACTCTTATTTTTGTATGCAAATTCGACATATGTGCATTCAGTACATGGCAGGTCGGAGGGTGTACCGGTGATTCTTTCTCCTATCGGCGCGCAGGGTTTATGCCTAAGGTATGAAACACGGAGTGCTTCTCTGCGTGTTCATTCACTGTCAAAAGCAAAACCGAGACGGAAGCATCTGGAAAGTAGTTCAGTTTGGAAATGCCAGTGCCATTCACCTCCTGGCAAGGGTGTCGGTAGCTCCTTCTTTCAGGGATTGCTTACCGTTAAGCAGGGTGTGGGTTTGGCTCCCTGGCAACGCCAATACTAATTTACCATCGAAGTGAATCGTGGAGGGTTGCCTCACCGGCGGAACTGCACCTTCGATGTACTGCCCACTACGCTATGCCTGCCGACAAATTCACATGTCATGTGATGTAGTTCCTATGCCTGCATTCTAATATTCGTAGATTGAACCGTGATAGGTTTGCGTATTCCTCGTCGGAGGGGTGGATAAAATCTGGTTCGGACAGCATCCCAACTGGCTACCAAAAATAGTAACGAGAAGCTCGCTTTAACTAAATCGGAATTTAGAAAGAAAAATCCTATCGCCGAGGAAGACGGGTAATGAATCAGCTGCAACTGGTGGTGATAACATTGAAGAAAATACACCACCGGAAAGGAATGAGAATTGGACGTATTTTGACCGCGATGAAAATGAACCACCGAGAAAACGAGGTTATTTTTTAGTGTGCAGTGCAGTTAGTAGAAAGGTGATAAACAAACTATTGAATAATAGTAGCCACTTTTTTGTAGTCAGTAATACTGGTAACAAGGCGGAAAGAAGTACACTGGAGACGAGAACTGATGCCGTTAAGCAGCCACCTGTTGCATTTGATAGTGACAGAACTGGAAACGAATTGGATAGTGAATGCCGGGAGAATGAAAAGAAGGCGAAAATTAGTCCGTCAAGGAAGGAAAGAGCACTTGGACTTCTGTGCCTCAGGTGAGTTCAGGATTTCAAGCCTCAATAAATTAGGTATAGAAAAAATTAGACTGACTGTTTCGAGTAACTGCAAGTGAGATTAATCCCGCACTCTATGTGCATCCAAGAAAAGGAGGAGGAAATGGAGAACAGGAATACAAGTAAAAGCGTTAGCAGAAGGGTCATTTTTGATCGATTTTATCCGATTACTTGACTCGTCTTTTTCTGCTTTTGCATCGTTTTTCTCTTTCATAGACGTGAATTTTACGTTTACGGACTGTTGACGGGTCGATTGCGCGTTCTAATAGCTGATGCGATTAAAAACAATGTGTTTCACCCCAAGTGACTGATGAAGCGTTTGACTACGAAAGCGCTGATCAGTTGAGTGACACTTCCGCAAAGAGAAATGCAGTAGTTTTTGGAAATAATGGAATTAACACTAAACTCGTCAGATGTCGATAGCGCAGACTTTGGAAAGCTGTCGCCCTCGGTTCAATTAGTAATTGGTCAAACCGCTAAAAAAGTGGAAGTGGTTTTGCCACAGAAAAAGCGCGTTGAGGAAGATTTGAAGAATTAGCGTCCAGTCCGCTTACTTTGTCGTATCTGTAAACTGTTCACGAGAGTTATTACTGCTGATTATCAAGAATCGATGAAAAGCAACCGAGGAAGCAAGCCGGAATCTTGAATAATTACTGCAAGATGGATGGCATTTTCGCTCTTAATCATCTGTTGGAACCTGCAAAGGAGTAGCGGCTCCCTCTTTATCCCCTATTATACGACTACGAATTCCGTGGTACAAGCTTTTTTTGGTCGAAAGAATTGATGGGGACTGTATCGAAATCAATGAGGAAGCGTATATAAGTTGCATGGCAGAAATCACACTCTCCTCTACTCCAACATTATGTCGATCTGAAAGAATAACACAGGGCATTCCAAATCACCGAAGGTTTTGACGGCCTGTCTCGAGATAATGGCATTTGGGTTGGAAAGATGCTCAGCTTATCAGTAGTAAGCAGTTATATCTTCTGTGCTTTGCCAAAGACAATTTCTTATTGCGAATAGCTTTCCCGAGATAAGTGAAATGCCGCGGGAGCTCAGTGCACGAGTTTAGGAAGCTGACCTGAACGCATCAGAGACGAAGGTGATACAGTCAAAGTTTACAACTACGTCTGTCCTGTCCAGGAAATATGCGTTGCATGTTCCGGTCTGAGAGTGCACGAAGGAAGGGCGGCCGGTTGGCAAAAATTTCAATATTGTTGATGTCTTCAAAGTACTGAATTGGAAGACCCAGGCCTATCTCATCAACTTCGTTGTATTGAAACCAATGAAACGCGTTTGCGAAATGCAGCCACTCACGGGGAGTGTGGTTCGCCTGTGTGGCGTGTTGCTGGCCTCGCCAACAAGCAGTGGATGACACCTATTAATACTTGTGAGAAAGGAAACGGCCATTCGGACGAATTCCGAAGAGTTGGTGTACATAATCGAACAGGCGGTGGTCAGAACTGAAATACCTGTGCCTGACGTGTCGCAACATACAAGTAAGATCATTAAAATAAGATATACCAGTAGTCCAGGCAGTCTTCATATCCTTGCTATAGTTTTTTAGGCATTTTTTGTGAAATGAGGAAGCGAAAATTCAGTTTCTTTGCCAATCTGCAGAGCTACTTTCGAATTTCAGATTAGTTCGGTCTGCTGTGAAAAATGCTTCTTGTGGCAACAACACATTGGAGCTCGGGAGCATATCAAATGAAATAAGTACGTTTGATTTTGCGAACCTGTAATTTCTTTTATGTGTCCCTGTGCCAGTTCAGTAGTGCTAAGGCGAGGTTCTTGCTTTGTGTACATTTTCATACATGTTTGTTCGTTTGTCACAGATAGGGACAAACTGAAAGCAAGAGCTTTTCATCAATCGGTAACGTTGGAACTGCCAGTCGTATATATCACTGAATTGAGGCTGATATCAGAGTCAAGGATGTAGTGAATTGGGGAAGCGGATGCATTATATATAATAAGAATATCAGGATCGCATGAGTTAGCAGTTTGGATCTCCCTTGTTAGACATTTTACTGAGGACCTCCCACATGCTAGGCGCAGCCTTGCCAGGCCCTTTGTCCCCGGGCTGCATCCTCCAGTCAGTATCCACCACTTGTTGACTGCATGCGCTTCATCCTTTTCAAGCTCTCGAGTGGTCGTTTTCTTTCTCGTGGGTTTCCCTCACTAGTGCGCGACATACATCGGTTATCGGGAGTTGAGCAACATGCATTGGCCGTCGAATTTTACTTTCTTTGTGGCCGCAATGCACTTTGCACGCCGCTCGTCTGACGGAGGGTCTGATGTTTATGTGGCCGCGAAGAGATATCGTCAAGCTTTCTTCGCTCCGTTGCCTTCTTTGTCATCTTCAGCATAGTTAAACTGATGAGGTAGGCAGAGTCTCTCTGGCGAGATACTTTGAGAACTTGACGATGTTATGAAGTTTTCGCCAACCGCCCACTCTTTTGCGTGCATTATCTGGTTACAGATCATGGCGCATATTTTTTGTTCAAGAAAGGTGTAGCTTTCAACTTCTGGGTTGACATTGTTATCTGCCATCTTGCGCGAGCATGCCAGCACTTTGTATCATTTTCGTCCTCGACACATTAATTTTCAGACCCACTTCCGTGCTTATGCATCGAGTTCATGTAGCATCTCATTATGCGTTTTGTGCTATGTAACAGCAATACAAAATGCATATTGTCACGGGGTTGCGTGTGTGT